CTAACCCTAGACCTCCCCTCCAGGGCGCTGTGGGGCCAGGGGGTGCAGGGGTCATAAGCTCTAATGGGGGATCCAGAGAGTGCCCCGTCTCAGGGTGACAGGTCCACCTCTCGCCTCCGCACAGACCCACCGCTTGCCCCAGATCTCACCGCTTTCCTGGAGACACAGACAGGAGTCGTGGGCATCCTCCACTGCTCCGTGGTCAGCGAGCCCCTGGCCACACTGGTGCTGTCACACCGGGGCCTCATGCTGGCCTCCACCACTGGAGAAGGGGTCTACAGCACACGCTTCAGCATCTCCTCTGCCCCCAACTCCCTGCGCCTGGAGATCCGGGACCTGGAACCTGCAGACAGTGGGGACTACGAGTGTTCAGCCACCAACTCCCTTGGAAACGCAAGCTCCACCCTGGAGTTCCATGCCAGTGGTAAGATGGGCACCGGTGGTGGGTGGAGACTGAAGAGCGCACATGGAGAGGCCGGCTCCAGACTCTTCTTAATAGGAGTCCAGAGGACTTAGCTGAGGTGCTGAACTAGCTACCTAGGTCACATCGAAGATCTGGGTTATGCAGTCATCCCAGCTTCAGAGGTCCCTGGAAGCCCAGGCAAAAAGGGAAACATGTGGCAGGTTGCAATATTCCTTTGGCACTAACTGAACTCAGAAGGTCCTTCATGGATATCACTTATTTATTTTTTTAATTGCCAGAGGGCTCATGTAGTCACCAGAGAGAGACAGAAAGAGAGAGAGGGGGGAGAAAGTACCTCCCAATGGGTGTGATCATGCTGCAACCCCTTCTCCATATCCCATCCTGTCAGGATCTGGGGCACATGCGTACATGTGCATGGCCTGTTTTTCAAGCCACAAGGGCTGAGATTCAAATCGCAAGGTCGGCCATGTGGGATCTGGCTCCCTTAACCACTAGGGTACTGCATTGGCCTGATTATTTATTTATGTTTAAGGTTTTTGCTATAGGGCATGTGTGCTCACCAGACAGAGAGAGACAGGGAGACAGAAAGCGAGAAATCGCCCCCCAGGGGAGATGGCCATGCCACAATCCCTTCTCCTCCATACTCCTCCTGGGATTCTGGGCACACACACAAATACATGTCTGGCATGATTTTCAAGTAGCCAGATCTGGGACTTGAACTGCAGTTGGTTTTGTGGGAGTCTAGAGCCTTAACCACTAGCCATGCTGGCCCCTGATTTATTTATTTCATTTTTTTATAGTTTTGCCAGAGGATATGTGCACTTGGCAGAGAGAGACAGAGAGACAGAGAGACAGAGAGAGGAGAGCGTGAGAAAGCACCCTCATGGAGGATGGTCACACTGCAATCCCATCTCCTACATTTCTCCCTCCTTTTGGAATCTTTGACCATGCATACAAGCATACTTAGTGTGTTTTTCAAACCACCGGGTCTAGGATTTGAACAGTGCAATTATATGGGACCCAGCCGCCTTAACCGCCAGGCCACCAGCCGGCCCCCTCACTTGTTTTTATCTGTCCGATGTTTGGAGCGGGCTCTGTGCTAGAAGTCAGATACAGTAGGGCTGTCCAACCCTTGGCACACCTGCTGCCATGATAGACACAGTGAATGTTAGCAGGTTTTTTTTTTTTTTTTTTTTGAGAGATTTTCACTGTAGGGCGCGTGCGCTCGCCAGACAGACAGAGAGAGACATAGAGACAGAAAGCGAGAAATCACCCCCCAGGGGGGATGGTCACGCCGCAATCCCTTCTCCTCCATTCTCCTCTCGGGATCTTGGGCATGCACGCACACGGGCCCGGCGTGAGTTTTAAGCCACCGGGTCCGGGACACGAACCGCGGTCGACTACGTGGGAGTCCAGCGACATAGCCATTACGCTAACTGCTGGTTCCCAATGATGGCAGGTTTTTGACAGAAGCCTGGGCTCTGGGCTCCTAGGCCGTGCTGCAGTCAGTGCCACCCACAGACCCTAATTGCCATTCAGGGCCCAAACCTCCTGAGCCCAGACCCACCTATGAGCAGGTAGGGAGAGGACAATCCTAAAGGGCTTCCTGCAGTGGCAGCACCCTTGCAGCCTCCCCCAGCCTCCCCCCAGCCTCCCTCTCTCCCTCTCCCACCAGCCACCCGCCTCCTCATCAGCCCTGCAGCAAAGGTGGTGGAAGGGCAGGCAGTGACCCTGAGCTGCAGGAGTGGCCTCAGCCTGACGCCCGAAACCCGCTTCTCCTGGTACCTGAACGGAGCCCTGCTTCTCGAAGGACCCAGCAGCAGCCTCCCGCTCCCCGCGGCCTCCAGCACTGACGCCGGCTCATACCACTGTTGGGTCCAGGATGGCCACGGTGCCAGCGACCGCTCCCTGCCTGCTGTCCTCACCGTGCTCTGTGAGCAGCCATGCCACCCGCTGCTGTGGGGAGGGCCCGCCTGGGACCTGCCAGCCACTCCCACCTCCTCCAGGCCCTGGACCCTGTCCTGCTCTGGGTCGCCATCAGGAGGGTGGTCACAGGCCTGCCACCATGGGCCTCTCCACCTAGGGCTGGAGTTTGGGGAACGAAGCCTGGGCCTTCTCCACTTGCCGCGTCCTTCCCTCCAATCCCAGCCACTCTGGAATCTTACGCCCCTGGCCTTGAACCTACAGTGGGAATATCCAAGCTCCGGATGTGACGCTCCTGTACACATGCACGCGCCCCCTGGGCTGTGCCCGCGTCACAGACACTAAGGCTGCATCCCTCAGCACCGGGACATCCCTCCACTTCCTGTCAAGGGCGGATGCTCTGCAGTAGCCCGAGGGCCTGAGTAATTCCAGACCTCCCTGACACCTGTGTGTAGGAGTGGCATCCTGGGACAGTTAGCCACCCTTCCAGGGGTTTCTGATGTCCCAGTGAGGTCACAGGGGGGCCTTAGCTGAGGGCTCTTTCAACTGTCTGTGTTGAGAAACCACTAGGAAAAGGCCATTTCAGGCGTTATGAAGTGTCCTGGGAGTTGGCTTGGAGGTCTGAGATAAGAAGCAGGGCGGACCTTGGGGGAAGTCTCAGTGGTCCGGGGTGGGGCGCAGGACCAGAGCAGAGGGCAAGGCTCCTGGGCAGGAGGGACGGTTCTCTGTCTCTCAGGAGCACGTGGGACACAAGGGGGCTGCCAGCCCCAACAGCACGTTGGCCCCAGCTACTGTAGAAAATGGCCTGGCACCAGGGCACGGCTGAGCTCAGGGAGCACGGGCTGAGCGCCACCGCCTGGTCTGGTTGTCCTTGTGCAGTGCGCGGCCACACAATGTTTGCAGCAGCCCTGGGGACATGCCTTTGTCCAGTGTGTTCTGGGAACCTGGCCAGCCTTGAGAGCCCTCGCAGCTGTGGGATAAATACCCATGCTTCCACCCTGCAGACCCCCCACGCCAGCCCACGTTCACTGCCCGCCTGGACCTCGGTGCCACCGGAATCAAGGCTGGACGGCGAGGTCTCCTCTCGTGCCGTGTGGACAGCGACCCCCCAGCCCAGTTGCGGCTGCTCCACAAGGACCATGTCGTGGCCACCTCAGAGGGTGGCTGCCGCAGCTGTGGGGGCTGCTCCCAGCGCAGGAAGGTGACCCGAGCTCCCAACGAGCTGCGTGTGGAGATTAGCGAGCCGGTGCTGGAGGACGAGGGCAGGTACCTGTGCGAGGCCAGCAATGCCCTGGGCAACTCCTCTGCCACAGCCACCTTCAATGCCCAGGGTGAGTTGGGGTAGGAGCTTCAGAACATTCCTCTATGCCCCAGCTCCAAGGAGGGTCTAATCCGGCAAAACCCACTGTTAGGCAGCGAGGGCAGGCACAGCTGTCCCGTGACAATGACAGGAGAGGGGCCTCGAGAGACTCGTGGCCCCTCTACATCAAGGGAAGCCAAAGTTGTCCCTTCTTGTGCTCAGTTATCAGGCGGGGGACAGGCCTGGGTCTGACACTGATTTCTGAGGAAGGTTTCTCTGGGTGGGACAGCTGGGCTGCTTCGTCTTCCCCACCCCCATGTTACTGCACCCCATCTCTGCCTATCACTCCCATGCCCCCCAGGGTCCGCTCCCCTGCAGGCACCTCAGGGGATCTCCTTCCTGCCCCTCCAGGCTGGGAGGCTGGGGTGGTCAGAGTGGGCTGTCCCACGTTGGCCCATGCTGCTTGCTTCCCAGCCACTGTCCTCGTCATCATGCCATCGAACACGCTGCTGGAGGGCACACAGGCCAATCTCACTTGCAATGTGAGCCGGGAAGCCACCGACAGCCCTGCCAACTTCTCCTGGTTCCGCAATGGGGTGCTATGGGTCCAGGGTCCCCTGGAGACCGTGACGCTGCTGCCCGTGGCCAGAACCGATGTTGCCCTCTACACCTGCCGCACCCTCACTGAGGCTGATGCCCAGCTCTCTGCTCCTGTGTTCCTGAGTGTGCTCTGTGGGTGATGGGAAGGACAGCATGGGGACTTGGAGGCTGGAGGGGTGGACTGGGGGGACCAGGGCTGGGGGGAAGCTTTGGGAGGCAAGGATGTGGCTGGGTTGGGGTTGGGGTGGGCCTGGGCTATGTGTGTGGAAAGGACTGGGCATGGCACGGTAGCTGGAATGTGGTAAACTGGGCTGGGGTGACCTGAGCATCCCCTGTTCCCACAGATCCCCCAGAACTCCCAAAGCTGTCGGCTCTTCTGGACGTGGGCCAGGGCCACATGGCTGTGTTTGTCTGCACTGTGGACAGTCATCCCCTGGCCCAGCTGTCCCTGTTCCATGAGGACCACCTCCTGGCCACCACCCTGGGGCTTCAGCTGCCACCCCATGGCCGGCTCCAGGCCAAGGTTATGGCCAACTCTCTGCGGCTAGAAGTCCGAGAACTGAGCCTTCGGGACTCTGGCAGCTATCGCTGTGAAGCCACAAATGTTCTTGGATCAGCCAATACATCACTCTTCTTTCAGGTCCGAGGTAAGTGTCAGTCCTCTAAAGACGTGGTAGACCCTGATGCCCAGGGGGATACTCTGGTCAGACCTTAGGTTAGGTGCTGTTGGTTTTGTGCAGAAATGTGAATCTTTTTCAGCCCTGGTTAGAGAACTGTGTCCAACCAGAAAGAAGCCTTTTCCTCTATCTAAATATTTTCACCTGTAATAACTGCAGCAGCCACTAGGAGGCAGTAGCAATTGCACAATTTGCCTTATTTGGTTGGAACACTATCTAATAGAAAAACAATATATTTTTCTGACATATTTTCATGTATATGTGTAAAAGGGATCTTTGGGAAGTTTTTTGAAAATGAGTATTAGGAAAAAACTATGTATGAATCTAAAATTTTAATTATTTATTTAGGTTTTTGCTGTAGGGTATGTGTGCTCACCAGAGAGAGTCAGAGAGAGGGAAAGTGAGAAATCACCCACTAGGGCGGATGACCACATTGCAATTCTTTCTCCTCCATTCTTCTCTCAGAATTTTGGGCAAGCACGCACATGTGCCTGGCCTGATTTTCAAGTTGCTGGGTTTGGGATTTGAAGCTGGTTGACCATATGGGAATCCAGCGCCTTAACTACCCCATCTGCTGGCCCTAAATCTAAAAATTTTTGCCCCTTAGTAAACTCGTATTTTAATTCCATCTTCCATAAACTTCTCAAAGTTCCTTTACACATATTTATATTATTCATTCATATACATGCATACATATTTACATGCATATAGGGAGAACATATTTGTTAAAGTCCTCCCTGAGCAAATAAGCCAGATAAAAGCTAAAGTGCATGCTTCTTCTGCAGTGACACACAACATCTATATCTGGACACTAGCTTTGTATCTTTCTTATGTATTGTGCCCACTTCACAGGCAGAGAAATTGAGGGTCAGTGTTCTAGGAGCTAGCACATGGTCTTATGACCAGCAGGAAGCTCTGCTAGCTCTGGGCTGACTGTTGAAGTCCCAGGTGTATGTATTCTCAATTCACTGCAACTGTCCCCCCCACCTCCCTTCCTCCATCCTGGTCTCCTCCCGTCCCAGCCCCACAGGGTGCTAGGAAACCTCCCTCTGCTGGGTCCCTTATTCCTGGGCTCTGATAGCTTGGAGCCTGGGTTCACAGCTGGATTGAGAGGGCTAAAGACAACTCAAGATTAGGGCCAACAGATGGTGTAATGGTTATGTTGCTGGACTCCCACTTAGTCAACTGTGGTTCGAGTCTTGGACCTGGCAGCTTAAAGCTCACGTGGGGCACGTGTGTGTGCGCGCCGAAAAAAATCCTGAGAGGAGAATGGCGGAGAAGGGATTGTGGCATGGCCATTCCCGGGGTGGGGGCTGATTTCTCACTTTTTGTCTCTGTCTCTCTGGCAAGCACACATGCCCTATAGCAAAAAAAACTCTCTAAAATAAAAAAAGATACCTCAAGATTACACAGCTATTAACTTGACCTCCCATGCCCTTGGTCACCCATACTGAGTCCAGCTCATGGTCAGGACAGTGGCCTGGATCCCTCCTGCTTCAGTGCTTTCTGGATGGGCTGACCTTTGGCAAGCCCTAACACAGCACTGGGGTTACGGGACATACAAGCCTGGCTCCCACGAGGCTCACCCTCTAGCAGGTGAAATGTGATTGACAGAGCAGAGGGTGGTGAATGCCAGGACCAGTCAGAGGGGGCGAACTGGGAGCAGAAGAGGCAGAGGCGTGGAGCTGAAGTGGGCCATGGGTGGCGGTCTGGAGAGGAGCTGCGGCTCTGACCCAGGGCTGAGGTCACGCAGTCGTGTGTGGATGCACACGGCCCTGTGCTGGGAGGTATGGTGATGGCTCTCACCTGCTCTGTTTCTTCCTGCAGGAGCCTGGGTTCAGGTATCACCATCGCCTGAGCTCCGGGAGGGCCAGACAGCAGTCCTGACCTGCCAGGTATCCTCAGAGGTCCCCGAGGGGACCTCTTACCGCTGGTACCAGGATGGCCAGCCCCTCCTGGAGGCAACCTCGGCCACACTCCGCTTTGCAGCCATAACTGTGACACAAGCTGGGGCCTACCATTGCCAGGCTCAGGCCCCAGGCTCGGCCACCACAAGCTTGGCTGCCCCCGTCAGCCTCCATGTGTCCTGTAAGTGTGGGGGAGTGGACATAGCCCGCTGGTCCTAGGCTCTGCCAGAGCTCTGGATGAGGGACCTCCCGGCCGGGCGCTGACCACTCCCTACCCTGTGTAGACAAACCCCGCCAGGCCACACTCACCACCCTGATGGACAGAGGCCCTGGGCGGCTGGGCCTCCTCCTATGCCGCGTAGACAGTGAACCTCCGGCCCAGCTGCGGCTGCTCCATGGGGACCAGCTCGTGGCCTCCACCCTCCCAGATGTGGGGGACTCTTCAGGCCTCGACCGCCGGCTGCGGGTGGCCGTGGCTCCCAACACGCTGCGCCTGGAGATCCACAATGCTGTGCTGGAGGATGAGGGCGTCTACACTTGCGAGGCCACCAACATCCTGGGCCAGGCCACGGCCTCGGCTGACTTCGATGCCCAGGGTCAGTGCGGGTGTCTGAGTACGTGGGTGGGTGACTCCTTTGAGGAAGGATGGGAGGTAGGAGAGGGTTCTGGAACCCTATGGGCACAACAGTCTCCGTTCCTACCCTTCCCGAGGGCAGTGGACTCCAGACTTGGATTTCATGGAAGCATCTTTCCTTAAACAAAGTATTTTTGTTATTTTTCTTTTACTGGAGGGGCAGTGGGAGAGAGAAAGGGAGAGACAGAGATAAGTATTTTTACAAAGCGTCACTGTGTCCCAACCTCCCAGTTACATAGGATTTCAGGTAGGTGCACCCACCACAGGATGCTCAGAGAGGCCAGAGAATCGAATCTTAGCCTTCACGTGGCTCCCGGGCTTCCAACAGGTGGTTCTACCTGTGCACCACTGTGACTTGGTCAAAGAAACTTTATTTAAAAAAAAATTTATTTCCTCCATGTGACAGAGAGAGAGAAAGGGAGACAGTACCCAACAGTCTGTGCTGCAATCTACCCCTGTCTTAGTCAGCCTACATCATGGGCACACTGGGGAGAGCCCCAAGAACACAGGGAGGCCCCAGGAAGTGAACCCAGGACTGTTACAGGTCTAGTCGTGTTACCACTGAGCCACTACCCAAAGAGGTTTTTTTTTTTTTTTTTTTTTTTTTTAAGATTTTTTTTGCCAAAGGGCATGTGCATGCACTTATTGGAGAGAGACAGAGAGTGATGGGGAGAGAGAAAGTGAGAAATCACCCCCTGGGGGAATGACCACCTGGTGATCCCTTCTCCTTCATTCTCTTCTTGGGATTTTGGGCACACATGCACCTGGTGTGAGTTTCAAGCCACCGAGTCTAGAGCTGGAACCGTGGTCGACCATGTGGGAGTCTAGCATCTTTACTATGCCACCTGCTGGCCCTCCCAAAAAGCCTTTTTAAATTTTTTTGGGAGTTTTATTTTGCTATAGGGTGCATGCGCTTGCCAGAAAAAACAGAGACAGAGAGAAAAAATCCCCTCCCCGGGGGGATGGCCACGCTGCAATTCCTTCTCCTCCATTCTCCTCTTGGGATCTTGGGCACGCACGCACATATACCCAGCGTGAGTTTAAGCCACCGGGTCTGGGACTCGAACCGTGGTTTACTCCATGGGAGTCCAGCGACATAGCCACTACGCCAACTGTAAGTCCCACGGAGAGTCTTTTTTAAACACAGAATTGTGATTGCTGAGTGGCTTAAACAAATTAGAAAACGGGTCTTAAGGAAAAGCCACAGCAGGGCAGGGGAGGCCTGTACCTGCCCTCGAGCAGGGTCAGGAAGGGGCTCAGGGTTCTGCAGAACTCACTTGAGATGCCCTGGAAAGGCAGTGAGCGTTCCCTTGCTTGGCCTCTGAGCCCCATTTACAGGTGGGCTGCCTGAAGCTCACAGAGGCAGAGGCTCCCATACAGCAGGGCATCTCGCCTGCACAGATGGGTGGCATGCTTTGCACCACCTCAGGGCCCTCATCGGTATCCGGTCTCTCCCTCTCTGTCCAGCCGTGAGGGTGCAGGTGTGGCCCAAGGCCACCGTACAGGAGGGGCAGCTGGTGAACCTAACCTGCCTCGTCTGGACCTCCCGCCCGACTCCGCTCACCTATACGTGGTACCAGGACCAGCAGCAGCGCCCGGGTGCCCGCTCCATCCTCCTGCCCAATGTCACAGTCACAGATGCCGCCTCCTACCGCTGCGGTGTGGGGCCCCCTGGCCAGACGCCTCACCTCTCCAGTCCTGTCACTCTGGATGTCCTCTGTGAGACTGGTTGGATGTGGGGGGCAGGGCCTAGAAGGAATGACAGCCTCCCACAGGGATCAGGGCATGGCCAGAGCCCCACGGGTGTCCAGCCCGGGGACTCAGTACCCAGCTGGCAGACGGGGCAATGGGGATAGGTCCTTTCTGGACAGAAGAGCAGTGCCAAAGCAGGTGATAGAAGGGCCTTCAACTGGGAGGCAGGGCCCTTCTGGGTTCCATCATCACCTGCACATGGGCCTCCTCCAGGCTACCCCCTCTGTACTTCTTGCGTGCCTTTCGTGCCCCTGCAGACCCACCCCGAAGCCTGCGCCTGACTTACCTCCTGGAGAGCCATGGTGGGCAGCTGGCCCTGGTACTGTGCACTGTGGATAGCTACCCGCCCGCCCAGCTAGTCCTCAGCCATGCTGGCCGCCTCCTGGCCTCCTCAACGGCAGCCTCTGTCCCCAACACCCTGCGGCTGGAGCTACGTGAGCCACGGCCCAGTGACGAGGGTCTCTACAGTTGCTCCGCCCAGAGCCCTCTAGGCCAGGCCAATGCGTCCCTAGAGCTGAGGCTAGAGGGTAAGGCAGGCCCTGGGCCAGGCTCGCAGGGTGGGACTCAGCGTGGTAGCTGGGCCTGTATGACCTTGGCCTTCTCAGTACAGGTGTGCGGGTGACCCTGGCTCCATCAGCTACTGTGCCTGAGGGGACCCCTGTCACGATGACCTGTGAGGACCCGGTTGCCCGCCCACCCACCCTCTATGCCTGGTACCACAATGGCCGTTGGCTGCAGGAGGGTCCTGCTGCCTCATTCTCCTTCCCGGCGGTCATGCGCACCCACGCGGGTGCCTACTCCTGCCAGGTCCAGGATGCTCAGGGCACACGCAGTGCCCGGCCTGCTGCCCTGCAAATCCTCTGTAAGTTGGGAGCTTTGGCTGGGCTGCCTGGGATGAGGGCGGTAGGGGTGTTTCTGGCCCTGGTTGGGGCAGGCACAGGACAGCAGGGGGTCCAGGAGCGGGCACTTGGGGAAAGGAGGCAGGCCTGGGTGCTGAGGAAAGAGACCCACAGTCCTGTGAACCCTGCCAAGGGGACTGCCCACGGGGCTCCTAAGGAAGCGACCATCGACCTAGAACTTCTGCCTCAGCAAGACAGGGCAGGTGGCGGGCAATGGGCAGTCCAAGTGCCCAGGCAAGGCCCCACTCTATGCCCTACCTGCCCCCAGATGCCCCCCGAGATGCTGTCCTGTCCTCCTTCTGGGACTCGAGAACCAGGCCCATGGCCACGGTACAGTGCACTGTGGACAGCGAAGCTCCTGCCGAGCTGGCCCTGTCCCGAGCGGGCAAGGTGCTGGCCACCAGCCATGGAGTCCACAACTCAGCAGTGGGGACGGGCCGTGTCCAGGTGGCACGCAATGAC